TATTGTGGTAATAATTATTACAAAAATAACATAAGTAGATGGGTATCATTAAAATGATTTAATAATAACAATTTAAAAACAAAATAATTGCCACCCTATTTATTAATGTTATTATTGCAAATAAAACTAGCAAGATGGGTATCTATAAAAAGGTCTTAATAATTACAATTTAAAAAATTATATTAAATACCCCCTTCTTCCCCGTTAATTTATTAAACTTTTTTTCTAAAGAATTAACGTGGCAAGATGGGTATCTATGAAATGGTGTTGTAATTACAATTTAAAAAAATATATTAATAACCCCCCTTCTGCCCCCTAATTTATTACATTATTAAATTGCAAAATTAACATGGCATGATGGGTATCTATAAAAAGGTGTTAATAATTACAATTTAAAAAATTATATTAATTACCCCCTTCTGCCCCCTAATTTATTACATTATTAAATTGCAAAGTTAATATGGCATGATGGGTATCTATAAAAAGGTCTTAATAATTACAATTTTAAAAAATAAATTAATTACCCCCCTTCTGCCCCCTAATTTATTAGATTTTAAAATTGCAAAATTATCATGGCAAGATAGGTATCTATAAAAAGGTGTTGATAATTGCAATAAAAAAAATATTTTATTTACCCCTCCCTTTCCCCCAGTTTATTAAGTTTCTATATTTTAAAATTAACATGTCAAGATAGGTATCTATAAAAAGGTCTTGATAATTGCAATTAAAAAAATATATTAATTACCCCCTCCCTCCACCTAATTTTAATAAATTTTACATTTAAAAATTAACATGGCTGATGGGTATCTATAAAAAGGTCTTGATAATTGCAATTAAAAAAAATTATGTATATAAATTAACCTGACAAAATCTTTAAAAACTACGGGGCGGGAGGGGGTAATTAATAATATTTTTTAAATTGTAATTATTAAGACCTTTTTTTAATTACCAATATGGCCAGGTTAATTTTGCAATATACATTTTTTTAATAGGGGGGCAGGCAGAGGGTTATTTTTTTTTAATTGAAAATTTTGAGACCTTTTTATAGATATTCATCTTGACATGTTAATTTTGAAATATAGAAACCTAATAAACTGGGGGGAAGAGAGGGGGTAAATAATATAATTTTTTTAATTATCAAGACCTTTTTATAGATACCCATCTTGTTAGGTTAATTTTTAAATATAAAATTTATTAAAATTAGGGGGAGGGAGGGGGTAATTAATATATTTTTTTTAATTGCAATTATCAAGACCTTTTTATAGATACCTATCTTGCCATGATAGTTTTGCAATTTTAAAATCTAATAAGGGGGGTAATTAATTTATTTTTTAAAATTGTAATTATTAAGACCTTTTTATAGATACCCATCATGCCATATTAACTTTGCAATTTAATAATGTAATAAATTAGGGGGCAGAAGGGGGTAATTAATATAATTTTTTAAATTGTAATTATCAAGACCTTTTTATAGATACCTATCTTGACATGTTAATTTTAAAATATAGAAACTTAATAAACTGGGGGAAAGGGAGGGGTAAATAAAATATTTTTTTTATTGCAATTATCAACACCTTTTTATAGATACCTATCTTGCCATAATAATTTTGCAATTTTAAAATCTAATAAATTAGGGGACCTATCTTGACATATTAATTTTAAAATATGGAAACTTAATAAACTGGGGGCTAGGGAGGGTGTAAATAATATAATTTTTTTAATTGCAATTATCAACACCTTTTTATAGATACCCATCTTGAAATGTTAATTTTGCAACATAAAATTTTTATAAATTAGGGGGAGGAAGGGGGTAGGTAATTAATAATATTTTTTAAATTGTTATTTTTAAGATATTTTTGTAATTACCAATGTTATCAGATTAATTTTGCAATATAATTTTTTTTTTAAATAAGGTGGCAGGCAGGGGGTTATTATTATATATTTTTTAAATTGAAAATTTTAAGACCTTTTTATAGATACCCATCTTGATAAGTGAATTTTGAAATATAGAAACTTATTAAAGTGGGGGAAAGAGAGGGGGTAAATAATATAATTTTTTTAATTGCAATTATCAAGACCTTTTTATAGATACCCATCTTGCCATGTTTATTAATTAACAATATAAAAATATAGAAAAATCTATAAAAATGTTTTACTAAAAAGTTAATAATAATCAATAATTATTAATAATAAGTAATTATTAATTACCCATTATTAATAACTTTTTAGTAAAAAAATTATCTTATATTGTTAATTTTAAAATTTCTTTGTTAATTTTTTTTTACTTTAAATGTTTAAATTAATGTTCTCTAATAATTAGTCTAATTAAAAAAATAAAACTATTTTTAATAGTAGTTAAAACTCTTAAAAAGATTAAATCCTTACCGATCTCGTTGGGATTTAATCCCAATATGATCTGGTATGATTTAATCACTAAAGTATCAAAACTTTCTATACATCGGAGAATATAACTCGTGAGCAGATCGAAATTATTTTAAGGCGTTTAAAATTTAGGGACTAGGAGTAGTATTTAAACTCATTTTTAGTTTCGATCCCTGAGCGAGTTAAATTCGGTCAAACCAGTTTGAATCAATCGGTGATGCGAACAGTCGAGACGGCAGCGAGATTTAATCTGAGCGATATTTAAACTTTAATTTAATTAATAATTAATTATTTAACACCTAGATAAAATTCTAGCGATATTCATAAAAAATTGTAAAATTTGTCGCTTATAGGCTAACATAGACATTAAATTTTACGGAGTTTAGTTATAAGTTATGTTTTAATTGGAATAAAATACGCAAATTATTAAACTTACAAATTAGCTTAAGATGAACAAATTTTGTTCTTAAAACGTGCCAAGAAAAATTTAAAACCCCTTTGATCAGAAATGGAAAATGTTCTTAACTTCAAAAAATACGTATCTGTCAATATTAATGAACACTTGATAATTTGTAATAAAATAATTTTCTTTACGTAAGTAAGAAAACTATAGTTATTTTTATAATAAAATTACTTTTTTGTACGTTTCTCCCTAAATAGGCATTAGGTTTTAATTTAAATTATTGATTTCTTTACGCAAGTTAACAAAATGTAGTTGTAAATCTAACTTCTGATATCTGGCAACACTGCTGGAAGTTAGTACGACGTGACCGTAACTCTTTCATATATATGCGGAAGTGATTTCGTATATTAGTTGCTTCCAAATATATACATTTTAATTCTTCACAAAATGCTTCCCCTCTTTTGACAACCGAATTGTAGACCTTCCCCTCTTTCAAACGCACCCTAATATATACGTTTAAAATAACTGGTAACACCGGAGGTGTCACTGCTTACCAAACATCAATATATATATATATATATATATATATATATATACATACATATATTTCGTCAAAGTGGCACCATTTATGGGTGAAAATTGTCTTAACGGCACCCAATTTTACCATGTGGCACCCGGTTTTGGGTGCCGTTACGTTTTGAGTGCTTGTCAGCCCTATGTTCATATAAGGGCATAACGAAGCGTCTGGCAAAATTTCGATTGGGTGCCGGGTTGACCATAATTCTGAATTTACATACTGATTAGTTCGACCATCCTCCGATGGGGGCGCTGCGGTGCATACAAGTTGGTAAATAGAACCAAAGTGGCACCATACAATTATGTTTGCTCTCTGGCACCATAAATTTGGCAACACCGCGGTGTTAAAAATTGACTTCTGAAAAAGAAAGCGGTGCACCGCTTTCTTTTTCAGAAGTCAATTTTTAACGCTTCGTTTGGCGCGCGAATACCTCTTGGCGTGCGGAATTGCAACAAAATACCTTTATTAATATATGCTCAACACATGATATGTAGATAAATTTGTTATAAGTAAATTTGTTACTGTTTTATTTATTTATTTTAAAAATATTATTGTTTAGGCAGAAGTCAAACAAAATATCCCATTTTTAATGTATATTTCTACGGCATAAAAATAAAACAATTAATTTAGTTTAGTTTATTTATTTGGACGATTTGATAGTATTGGGGAATAGTCTTGAAAATCATAATAGAAGTTTAGTTAAAGTAATGTCAAGGTTACGAAAAGTGAATCTCAAACTAAACCTGAACAAATGTGAGTTTTTAAAGAAAGAAATATTTCATCTAGGTCATTTAATATCAGCTGATGGTATTGCACCCGACCCAGAAAAAATTAACGTAGTGAAACAGTATCCTGTTCCTATAGATGCAAACTCGGCAAAACGCTTTGTTGCATTTGCAAACTATTACAGGTCATTTATTCAAAAATAAATTTTCAAGAAAAAATACTCCTTTTATATGGACAAAAGAATTCAATACGTACGAACTTATTTTTGGCAGAGTAGCTTCACTACCATCAAATTTAGAACAAATAGATACATTCTATTCGTTCGAGAACTATCCTCTTAAATTAAAATTTAGGCAAGCAAGCGCAGAGGCCAAAGAAAACCTTTTAAATTCAAAAATAAAAAGAAAAAAAATTTTTGACCAACATAATCGTAATTCTAAAATAAGTTTCAATATAGAAGATTTAGTATTAGTAGAAAATAATAGCACGAACAAAACGGATGAACTATTTAAGGGACCATATGAAGTGTTATAGTTACCCTTTTTAGTAAGTCCAGAACGCGCTAAATATTCGAATAATAATATGCAGCGCTACCTTTTTTATTATTTTTCTGTTGATTGACAATCAATCAATTTGCACGTGACCGCAGTTGACCAAACCACGTGTCACGTCTCGACGTCCATACTGACAATTAATGAATAACACTAAATAATCAATTTTAAAGTTTCCCCAATCTTTCGATGACACAACCTCAAAAATTGCGCCGACCCGCTCTGCGGATTTTTAAGATTGGTTTACTAAAAAGTTAATTTTATTTTAATTTTATAAATGTTAAAGATTTGTAAATAAAAGAATATCTTAGATAAATGCCTGTCAGATATTGTTCTTACATTTTTTAATTGTATGTTTCAGGTATCATAGAATCAATTATTTCTGCTGCTGCTAGTCGTATTGGAAAGACAGTTTTGCATGTTGATAGGTAAAAATACATGTATAATATTTCTATTTAGAACTTTAATAACATTTATTTTAGTAACAATTTTTATGGAGGTCTATCTTCCTCTTTTAATTTGGAGAGCTTTTTAAAATTAAACATTGAAAAAAGAAAAAGTATTTGTATGGAACATTCTAGTTTAAATGATACTGAAACATTCTTTCCAATTAATAATTCTGATTTTACCTTGGATGAAGTAACCCACCAATGGAACATAACTAAGTATGATATTAAACTATTCTAAATCTTTAAAATTATAATAAACAGGCGCGTAGGTAGACACAAAATTTCGATGGGAGTTTTGGTAAAATAAGAGTACAATTAAGCTATAAAGATCATAAGCTTGCTATGATTCCTAAAAAAAACTTAACCCCTGCCTACGCTACTGAGTACAAAGGGTATATTTTCAAAGTCACCAATGCTGCGTATATAGATTACACTGGGAAAAAAATTACCCGTTTGTTTCTATTACATAAACTTTTTAAGCTACAGAATACCCTTTTTTGTCCAAAAAGTCATACAAAACAATACATAATCTCGAGTGTAATCTATAATTTATCTACTCCAACAAGTAGATAATTAAATAATTTTCAAAAATAAATAATTAAAATCCAACATCTTTTAAATGGTTAACCTCACTTTTTACCAATTTTAAATATCGCCTTCTCCAAATTTAAAACCCGATCGGCCAATCACCGATGCCTAGCAACGTGAATAATGAGTTTATTATTACCGCTGTTACGCAGGGAATTTATAATGTTTTCATTATTCACAGAAAAATTATGTTTAATCCTTTTATATAAATCAGGGACTAGGTTTTTTTACTTCGATCGGTAATGGGAACATTCGAGTCGGCCATATGATTTAAACTGAGCAATATCTAATGCCTGCATTGCTCAGTTTAAATCATATGACCATGGTTTATGCAGACTTAAAACTTAAGACTTAAGATTTAACAATTAAGAAGTTAAAAGTAAGGTTATTTCATTGATTTCCTTTAAGGTCGTTTATGCACCATTTAAGACTTAAGACTTGATACCACGTGATATTTTTATCGATTTTGATTGGTTACTCCTTAAGTTTTAAGTCCTAAGATAAATGCTGCATGAACGCCACAAAATTTTCGCTTAATTTTTAATTCTTAAGTCTTAAATGTTAAGTTTTAAGTCTTAAGTCTGCATAAACCCACCTTAAACGCCTTAGGTATCGGAACTTATCTAGTGATTTAATTCTAACCAGCTCATGTTATGTATAAACCTTAATAAATGCTAAAAGGATTCAATCATTTAAAGAGATATCAGTTGCTTCAGTTTTTTTGTTTCATTGCTGAGAACCGCGCATTCAAAATTTAATTGCATATTTAAACTAAAATTTGCATTATAATTGTATAAGTAATAATAATAATAATAATGCTTTATTGAACTAAAACCAAGTTCAAAGGCTATTGACCGTAGTCCTTCAGCCGTATAAGTAATAATTTTTTTAATAAAGTTTAAATGTGTTAAATTTTAATAACCTTTATAAAAATATTTTTTTAGGCTTATATTATATGACGGTTATCAATTTTTAATGTGGATACATATATTCCTTAAAGTATTACAGAATCTCTGTTTTTATAACACTTTTAATAATAATAATAATAATAATAAATAGATTTTCTGGGCATTAATATTTACACATAAATACAAAAATAAATACATATTTTAGCGACTGGGTGTACGGGTAGGTAAGCGAATTGATCGATTAGGTATATAAAAACTTAACCTTATTATATATACACATATATACACAAACTATCTACAAACTTAGCGTGTAGGTAGCAGGAGCCGATTCAAGACAGAGAATTAGGATGTAGTGATCAATGAGAGCTCCTAGGTCTTCCACCGTTGGTCGGGGTAAGGAGTAGGTAAAAAATATTTAGAACGAGGCAAAAATGCAAAAAATAATAAAGTCTATTATATTTTTGGATTTAATTTATAAATACGAATATATTTCTTTTATAAAGGTAAAGGAGAAGTTACCCAGGGAGGTTTGCAAATGATTGAGCTATTTATAAATCGGTGAGGTGGATGTTACGTGCGTTTTACCCATCTAGTTCTAAACTTTTGGGTTTTGCTTTATTGTTGGTTGTTAACTCGCTGTTTTTGTTAAACTGTCTGTTTTTGCGTTCGATAAGGTTCGAATTACTTTTCATTGTTTAAATTATTGTTATTGCGTTGTTTTAACCTGCGTTAACTTATTTTGTTTGAGTTTGTGTTGTGCCATTTGCATTTATTAAAATGCGGTTTACCATATTTGGATGCAATACAGTTTATTAATTATTTATAAAATGTAAAAAAAGTTTATAACCAAACTGCGCAATACAAACGAAAAGAGAAAGGTCAATAGTTGAAATTGGTTACAATTTTTGTATTTTTTCAATAGTAATAATAAATTCATTTAACATTGTATTACATATTTTTCTTTACAATTGTTTTATATAATAAAAATAAACTTAAAATATACTACGAAGTGGAACATTTTCGGGAGATTTAATTTTTGTTTATATTTTTAATTTATTGGTATTTTTTACTGTATTTATTTAAATAAAAATTTAACATATTACGAAATTTTATATATTGACCGTGTAAAGAACATATATGGGGCAAAACACCTCAAGTGTTCCCACCTAAAAATGTAGTCGAAAAAGAAAAATGCAGAAAGTAAGTTGCTCTTACTCTGAATAAATTACACGTGCACGTAAATGTAAATAAGTTCTACTATTTAATGCAATTGCAAGTGTCTCACAATAATAATAAACATTTTTCATGTAAACTTTTTATTGAACATTTTACCTATTTTTTATTTTTGGGAAAAATATCATATTCGTTAGCAAACGATATTTTTTTAAGTACAATTAAGAAAAAAACAGCAAAAAACAATTTGTTAGAAGTACATTTACCTGCAGGTCGATAGAGAATTAAATTCTCTATCGACCTTCTTCTAAAAAAAAAAAAATTTGGCGCTTGTGCTGTTTTGACTTAAACCCATCTAAAAATACATTTATTTCTATATAAAAATAATTTAAAAAGTTGTATTGACCCTCTCCAATTAATCCACTAAGTAGTAGACCGAGCACCGCTGCTATACTATAGTAGCTGTTCGCCGCACGGTCCCTACGCGCTTCAACCCTTATTTTTTTCGACTTATTCTTGGGATCCCATCTTCATATTACATCAAAATTTAGGGAATTAGAAAAGCTTTCTTTTGATATTAATTTTAAAAAAATCAAATATGTCGCATTTCGAGAAAAAACAAATATATTTTTAAAATCGTTTTTTTATAACCAAAAAATTTTTTCTCGCTTTCGAGACCTTTTTTATCGTAAATCGTGGAAAAAATGCTTTACGATATGTTGATTATCAATTTAAAAAAAAAATTATTATATACATGAATATTTCGACGTCTTTTAAGCGCACGAGAAAAAAAATAAATTTTCAGGCCCCTGTATCTCTGCAACCCGCTAATCCTTTTTGCCCCCCATTTGGAAAATTAAGGTAGTCCAATAGGACAATGATTTGGCAAAGTTTTGTTAAAATCGGAGAAAACATCATTTTTAGGTGGGAACACTTGAGGTGTTTTGCCCCATATGAAAAATACCAAATATAATAATATATTTAATAATTATTGTATTTTTTTCAATAATAAAAAAATTATTTAAATAGTAATTAATATTTTTTAAAGCATCTAGGAATATTACTAATTACATATTGTAATAAATATTTTTGGTAAAACTATTGTATTTTCTTTTAATACTTAATAAAAAATGGATTTAAATAGTATCAAATATTTTTTAAAAGCCTCAAGCATCCATATTATTTACACTATCTTCAATATCAAATATAAAAAAAACCAGATATTTCTCTATATTCTTTGATAATATTGCTATTATTTGTGTATTCGCGCGGCTTCTACCTGTCGAGTGACGTAATGCGCGGAACGAACGAAAACTCGTCCACGAGAGCATCCAGCCCTGTATTAATATAAAGAATCTATATAGACTTCCCAATAAACACAATGACATAAATATGACGAAAATAAGACGTCATGTCAGTTCACACTTACTTACGTCAGACTCTGACGTAATAAATATGGTATGGATAGCGAATTAAGCATAGAATTAGCTGCTATAAACTTACCAAAATTAAAAATCATTATTGTTTCAATATATCGATCTCCAAATGGTGACATCACTGTTTTCATGGAAAGGTTAAATAAGGGTATAACAATTTTATCTGAAAAATATAATTCACATATTATCTATTTATCTGGTGACTTTAATATTGATTTTCTAAAAAATTCTCAACTTAAACGTGATCTGGTAGAAAATTTGGAATCATATGGTATTTAATGAGCCTTCCAGAGAATTTAATGGGTCATCTACTTGCATTGATAATATCTTCACAAATGAAAATAAATATATGAAAAAAACTATCGACTTTAACCTATCCGATCATTATTCACAAGTAATTACTATGGAAACTTTAAATATAATGCCTAGAAAAGTTGAAATTATAAAAGTAAGGACATTTAACATAAAAAATATCTATCTTTTCTCACATTATCTAAAACAACATGTTTATAATATGGAATTTGATAACTTCACAGCACAAGAATCATTTGATTCATTTCATGAACTGTTTTTTTACTTTTTTAACTTTTGTTTTCCTGAAAAAGATAAAAAAATTAGTAAAAATAATAAAAAATTAAATGTTGAAAATTTTGAATTAAAAAAAATGAGAAATGCACTACATGCCCTGGGAATTATTTCGAAGGTATTAAAGACGAATAATGCTTATAAACAATATAAATCATATAAGGAATTTTACTTTGAAGAACTTAATGAATACAGAAAAAATCAGAATTCGTTAGAAATAAAGAACTCGACCAATCCCCAAAAAGCAATGTGGAAGGTTATAAATAGAGAAACTAATAGGAAAAATAATATTTGTAATGAAGTATCCACTTTAACTCCAGAAAAATTTAATTCTTATTTTAAAAATTCTATAGATGATGCTTTGAAAAACATACCACCTGTCAAAAAAAACATCAATAGAGTTATGGAATAAAATGAGTACACCAGTAAACTATTCATTCTACTGTAGCTATGTAACGGAAACAGAAATATTTAATATTATTAAAAAAATTAAAGTCCAAAGATACCCAGGATATATATGGATTAA